ATTTTTTTTTCTAAGAACAGACTAAAAAACTGAAATAAGAGTACTATTTGGGTAAAAACTGGTCTAATTTAAGGAATCATTAAGTATAAAATCTATACAAACAGAATGACAAAGATTATTAATTATTATTTTTATTCATTGTTAACAATAATGATAAAATGGAGTATTGGTGAGAGAAATGAGAACTGTAATACACTGTTTATAGGAATGTAAATTGAATATGTATTGATCATCTTCACTGAAGGGTAGTTTGGCAATATGTATTTAAAGCTTTTAAAATATGTAAACCCTTTTGTCCCTATAATTCCACTTTCAAGAATTTATCCTTAGAAAACAATTAGGCAAAGTGGCAAAGATATGCTGATATGACTGTTTATTATAGTGTTGCTTATAATAGTAAAATATTGTAAACAAGCAAAATATCCATGACTGTGGATTGATTAAATTATGATATCCTTACATAATACTATAAAATGGTTCTATAGCTATGTATAAGTTAACATGGAAAGATATTCACAATATATTGATAAATGGGGAAATTTACAATATAGCATTATAGCAAAATTGTATTTTTGTTTAAAATTATATGTAATATGTGTGTGTAGATATATGTAAATATATATGTCTGCATATGTACATAGGTGCAGGTGGGGAAAACCCTGAAAACTGTACACTTAATATTGATAATAATCTCCATAGGAACTTTTTATTTTCTGCTTTTTACTTCCATGTGCATTCTAATATTGTGGGGCTTTTTTTTTCACTAAAAGCAAGTACTAGTTTTATAAATAAAGACCAAAATCTTTCTTTAAAATGAAAAAAATATTTATTTTGAAAAATGAAACTTTGTTACTTTTATCTTCCCAATCGAATGAACTGCAACAGAGATTGTCCCATCTTCACCTTGTCTAGCTGTGAAAAACAAGCTCTTTGGTAGTTACCAACAGCTATTTCTTAATATGCTGAACTTCTTCAATACATGTTTTTGAAGTAGGTTAGGAAATATAAATTTAAGCTTAAGTCCCATTAACAGATGTCAAATCATCTCTGATTGCAATTAATTTAGTTACAGTCAATGAAGGTACCATGTACCAAATAAACTGAAATGTATCTTAATGAATTTTAATGGCTAGCTTGCTTAATTTCCGTGATTAATAACGGGTTTTTTTTTTTTTTCATTTTAGGAGGTTCAGGACCATCATCTTCCATAGCCATAGCAGGCACCAACCACCCTGCCATCACAAAGACAACGTCTGTTCTTCAAGATGGCGTCATAGTCACCACCGCAGCTGGAAACCCACTGCAGAGTCAGCTACCCATTGGGAGTGATTTTCCTTTTGTTGGCCAGGAGCACGCACTTCATTTTCCATCCAACAGCACTTCAAACAACCATCTTCCACACCCCTTGAACCCCAGCCTCCTCAGTTCTCTACCTATCTCTTTGCCAGTGAATCAACAGCATCTCCTAAACCAGAATCTATTAAATATCCTCCAGCCTTCAGCAGGAGAAGGCAAGTCTGAGATCAACTTCCACCCTTTAGGTTTTCTCAACCCGAATGTAAACGCTGCTTTAGCTTTTCTCTCCAGTGACATGGATGGGCAGGTATTACAGCCTGTTCACTTTCAGCTCTTAGCAGCCCTGCTTCAGAACCAAGCCCCAGCAGCTGCCATGCTTCCCCTGCCATCTTTCAATCTGACCATCTCAGATCTTTTGCAACAGCAAAATACCCCTTTACCCTCATTAACACAGATGACAGCCCCACCAGACCATTTGCCAAGCAATCAGTCAGACAACAGCCGAGCTGAGACCCTTTTAACCAGCCCCCTGGGGAACCCTTTACCAAGCTTTGCAGGCAGTGACACTACTTTTAACCCCCTGTTCCTCCCAGCTGTCACTGGGGCCTCAGGATTAATGGCCTTGAATCCCCAGCTGTTGGGAGGTGTCCTGAACTCGGCATCGGCCAACTCCGCTAATCATCCAGAGGTTTCCATAGCAACCTCCTCCCAGGCAACCACTACCACAACCACTACATCATCAGCAGTGGCAGCACTGACTGTCTCAACACTTGGTGGGACAGCAGTGGTGTCAATGGCAGAAACATTGCTGAATATATCTAATAATGCTGGGAATACACCTGGTCCAGCTAAACTCAACAGTAACTCTGTGGTGCCACAGCTACTTAACCCTCTACTGGGGACAGGTCTGCTTGGTAAGTTAAATTTTTTCACAAATTTTTACAAAAGAAACGTTTTTCTAATTCTATTTTCTCCTTTTTAAAAACTCCATTTTGTCACACTATTTTTAAAAATGTTTTTGTTATGTCACAGCTTGCTTAAGGAACTAAATATAACAACACCCACATACAACCATAGTTATACAAACATGAAAATGACTTTCTCCTTTTCCCTTGTTCTAGCAATACTAAATATCATTTTAATCTGCTTTCTCTTCTAATTCTGATGCCACCTAAACCTAACCTACTCATCATTTCTTAAGCCAAGTAGAGTCTTATTTTTTAAGTAATAAAGCACAGGTACATCTTAAAAATAACTTTTATTTGAATTTTAGTTGGTGTGGCATCACAGGGTTAGTATGAGCAGCTGCACTGTGGATGGAAACAGTTTGAGAAAGTGTTTTCCAGGTGAACCCTAAATAAATGAAACTAAATGCTTGTCCAGCAAAATAAGAAATAAGGTGTAAAAACACTTAAAGCTAAAGTTTGCCCAAGCTCAAGGAAACAGCCCCTCTAGCTGCTGCTAGATTTCCTCAGAAAGTATTACTTTTTTAGACCTTTGTGGCTTAAAAATGAAGTCCTTCATATAGATTATCCTGTCACAAAAAAGTTGGCAAATAATGCCAAGTATATTTAACTGATAGATGCAGGTAACTATAATATAAAATTCAGGAATGGTGTTCATAAAGTCTGGAAACATAGGAGAATATACATGATGTTGTCAAAGGCATCTTCAATATGTAAAAAATAATTTTTAATTTATGTATTTAGATTTTATGGACATCTTTATAATATAGCATAATAAGTTTTATTTGGCATTGAAATCACTGCAGTTAAATAACCTAAAAAGCATTACAGATTTACATATTTCAAGTTATAGGACAATTTTTATGACATTGTCCTCAAAATAATGTCAGAGTAATTTCAAGACAATTTTGAATTTTGAATATAAATTTAGTTATTAATTAATCTTACTATGTAATACTTATTTTTAATGATTATTACAATGAATTCTTTTGTGTTGTTAGCTTTTTTTACAATTCTAATTTTAGGTGACCAACCTTTAGCTCCAAAACAAAATGCATATTTCTAAACCAAATCTCCGATTTTATTTGGTGGTATTTATTGATGATCATGGCTTGAGGACTAGATTTTTTAAACAAGGCCTGATCAGGCCCACTCATTTTAATCATTTGGTCAAATATGATTGCTAAAACATTTTAGGACTAATTTCAACCATTAATTTTAGGTGCTCTAACAAAAATATATTCAAGGAATCCTATAACACTGAAGCTCAATATATAAGGATTCATTAACAGATAGAGCAAGGACTAAGTAGTCTTTTCATGATATAAAACCAAAAAACTAATTATGCAAGATAAAACTAAATAATAAAGCTATTATTTCCTTACCACTTAGTAAGACTTTGAGGAGAAAAAAAAGAAAAGAATTACCCAACCAGGTCTAGCTATTAGTTTTTGTTTCAGGAATTGTCAGGTACAAAGAGAGGCATAGAATCTCCAAAGAATCATACTGACTTATATTTTATGTTTTCAAACTGTAGGTGATATGTCATCAGTAAACAATACTTTGAATAACCATCAACTGACTCATCTACAGTCGCTGTTAAACAACAATCAGATGTTTCCTCCAAGTCAACAACAGCAGCAACTTCTCCAGGGGTACCAGAACCTCCAGGCATTCCAAGGACAATCCACAATTCCTTGCCCAGCTAACAATAACCCCATGGCTTGTCTGTTTCAGAACTTTCAGGTACTCTCCTTGCCCGGGTCATGTTAGAAGAAAACAATGTCTGGGTTTGTTTGAGCACTTAATTTGGGGAATGGGTAAAAAAACTAGGTTACGTGCAGTTTCACCTCTATTATACTGTTATTTCTCAATCATGAATATTGTTAAACATTCCAGTCTTTTATGTGAAGTTTATTTTATTTTGTCTGAAGCATCTCAGTAGTTCTTTTGGGCCTGTTAGTAAAAACTAATAATGTGACCCTCTTAAACCTTTTTGTCATTTCTCATTGCTGTCGTCATTGAGACCCACAGCCTTAACATGCCTACCTAACCTTCTTCTCCAGCCCCAGCTCACACCAATCTCCCCCTGGCTTCAGCCATACGGTCTTTCTTTAGTTCTTCAAAGTGACTAAGTTCCTGGTAGCTTAAAGAGCTAGATGGGAAGAGTAACACTAAATAAATATAAGAAGAAAAGATAGAAGGTTTTTAAAAATAACCTTGGGGTAAAGAAAGGTCTTTGAGCAAAGCACAAAACCAAGGATGTCAAAAGGAAAAGAAGTAACAGAGTTGAATACATAAAACTTTTAAGTCCCTTTGACAAGGATATTCTAAACACAGTTAAAGACAAATGGCATCATGGTAGAAAATACTTGCATAATACATACCAAATAATTACTTCATATAAATATAAAAAGAGCTCCTACAAATCTGGAAGAAAAGGCAAATTGATTAGAAAAATGAGCAATAGATGTGAACAGACAATTCACAGAAAGGGAAAGATTATTAATAAACATAGGAAAAGAATAATCAGAGTTACACAAATTATAACACTCATGTGCCCATCAGATCGATGATATACATGGCTGACAAGGGTACAGGAAATGGGATCTCTCAGCTTATTGTTGGTCTGATTGTATGCTGATGCAATCCTTTTGGAGGATAATTTGATAGTATACCAGATTTTTAAGTATACATACCTTTTGACCCAGAAGTTCAACTTCTGTGTATCTATTTTAGGAAAATCTTCAAATGTGAACGAAAGAACACATATTGAAACATTCATTACAACATGATTTGTAGTGTCAAAAATTATGAACCATTCATAAGTCTTGGTGAGGAAGCTCATGAAAAAAAATTATGAACCATTTAAGTATCCATCAGTAAGGAAATAGTAAAATATGTTATGGTACACTATATCCAGCTACCTAGCAGTTTAAAAGATTAGGTCAATTTATATAATCTAATATGGAAAGATCTATAAGACTTTAAGACTCCACTGCTCAAGTATTGCAGAACAGTACAACCCCATTCATGCTGAAAGAAAGAAAGAAGGAGGAGATAGAGGAAGGAAGGAAGGGAAGAAGGGGAACTAGGAATACACCTACACACTTTAATGTATTAAAAAGTGTCTACAAGGATGCACTCCAGCACTGGTTACTTCTGAGAAAGGGAAGGAGATTGGAGTGGGATGGGAGAGTGTGGGTTTTGAGTGGGGTATAGTGATGAAGAAATCCTTTATCTTTTTTGACAATGATAAAATATTTATATATCTCTTATGTAAAAAAAATAATATAAAAAGGAAGAAGTGCCCAACCATGTCACCGAGAAAACAGGATAAAGCACGTAGAGAATCCATTAGATCTAGCAATTAAGATGTCACCAGTGATTTGGCAAAATGCAGTTTTGGTGGAGTGCTGGGAACAGGAGCCCGGCTGCAAGGGATAGAACAATAAATGGGAGGTTAAGAATTAAGGAGCTTAGATTAAATAAATAGATTTTAGCTGTTTTTGTCACACACACACACAAAAGTAGCTATGTGAGATGATAGATATATTAATTTCATTCACTGTAGTAACCATTTTACTATGTGAATCCTATAACACCATGTCGTTAACCTCAAATACACACAATAAAATATATTTTTTTAAAAAACTTCACTATGAAGACATAAGAGAAATAAGGCAGTGCCCAGAGGTGCGTGTTAGGTTGAATGTAAACTTTTAAAATATGGAAGCCATGCACATAATCATATGCTAAAGGAAAGAGTGAAAAAAGGGGAAGCGATTGACCGTAAAGAAGAGAAGGGGTAATATTTGAGGCAAGATCCCTGAGAAGGGAGTTGAGATCCAGAGCATAAATGGAGGGCTTACCCTCAGAGAGCAGAACGGGCCCTCTTACACTGGCAAGCAGGACAGGACTTACGACAGGTACAGTTGTGGAGAAATATGTACTGCCAGGAGCAGGGAGTACCAGAGTATAAGAAATTATGAGAATTCTTACCTGATGTGCTCCATTTTCTCTGTTAAGTAAAATCATCTACTAAGAATAGTGCAAGAGATGGCATAGTGGCTGGCTTGAAGAAATAAATGAAGATTTGAATTGTTGTGGAGAATGAGAGTGATATCTAACTAAAAGACCACAAGATTGTGGGCAAGAGTAAGCCCCCAGCTGAGGGTGGAAGCCATAAATTCCTCTAGACAAAACATTAGCATCCTCACTGTAAATACAGATGAGCCAGGAAGTTGACTTGACCCAAGATTGTGATTTTATCTGGTAGGTGTAAACAAGAGGATAATAACAAAAGAGAGGTTGATGTGTGCTGATGGATCCCAGGTTCTTGTTTTAGTAGGGTGGGATGTAAAGACAGAAAGGGAGTGATCACTGGCAGACATTCCCTGCCTTTGCTTCTTCCCAGTCGAGAATCACTTCTATAGAGAGCCAGTGTCACTGTTGACAGCATGGGGATGTCCCTCAGCCTGTATCCTGATAAGGTAGAGAAGCAGGTGTTACTAGCCCATGTGAAGACTTCAAAATTATAGTGTCATATTATTGTCAAAAAAGGAATATATATACTTTATTTTTTATATCGTATTTCGCTTAGTTAAGTAGAAACATTGGTGAGTTAGAAATCATTTTCAAAATCTGGTTTTCTTCGTAATTTGAACAGTGCTGATTTGGTTATCTGTGACTTGACTTTCTCTTCGAATCCTAAGTTGCAAAGACCTGTAATGACAGTAAATACGTGGAGTCATCGCCTGAGAACATTTTGTATCCAACCACCTCAAGTTTAACTTTTGTAGAGAATGTTTAGTAATGATAATTATTGTAAAAAGTCTTTTGAATGATTTTAACCAAAGAAACGGTACCTGAATATAATCAAGATGTAAGCTTTTCTACAGTGACTTTTTATTTCAGTTTTGAGTCTCATTCTTTGTATTTCCTTACTGGTTATGTCTGTTTGTCTTTTGCACTTGATCTTCGCCGAAAGGCTGAGAAGCGATTGTCTGTTTGTCTTTTGATAAATCTTAAAATTATGGTCTTTCTCTTTGAGGTCTTTATAATTATTTCCCTTTTGCTCACTGCTTCCTGTCTATTTCTTTAAGGTGAGAATGCAGGAAGATGCAGCTCTCCTAAACAAAAGAATAAGCACTCAGCCGGGGCTCACAGCACTTCCTGAGAACCCGAACACTACACTCGCACCTTTCCAAGATACACCTTGTGAATTGCAACCAAGGATTGACCCATCTCTTGGTCAGCAGGTGAAGGATGGCCTCGTTGTGGGTGGCCAAGGTGATGCTTCGGTAGATGCCATTTACAAAGCAGTTGTCGATGCTGCCAGCAAAGGAATGCAGGTTGTCATCACCACTGCAGTCAACAGTACAACTCAGATCAGCCCCATTCCAGCTCTGAGTGCCATGAGTGCCTTCACTGCCTCAATTGGTGACCCACTAAATCTCTCCAGTGCTGTCAGTGCAGTCATTCATGGACGAAACATGGGAGGTGTGGATCATGATGGTAGGCTGAGGAATGCAAGAGGGGCTCGGCTGCCCAAGAATCTAGACCATGGGAAAACTTCAAACGAAGGAGATGGGTTTGAGTATTTCAAGTCAGCAAGTTGCCACACGTCCAAAAAACAGTGGGATGGGGAACAAAGCCCCAGAGGGGAACGAAACAGGTGGAAATATGAGGAATTTTTAGATCATCCAGGCCATATCCACAGTAGTCCCTGTCATGAAAGGTCCAACAATGTCTCTACACTGCCATTTCTGCCTGGGGAACAGCACCCAATACTGTTACCACCAAGAAACTGTCAAGGGGATAAAATTCTGGAGGAAAATTTCAGGTATAATAACTACAAAAGAACTATGATGAGTTTTAAGGAGAGACTAGAGAACACTGTGGAAAGATGTGCACACATTAATGGGAATAGACCTCGACAGAGTCGGGGATTTGGAGAGCTGCTAAGCACTGCAAAGCAAGACCTGGTCCTAGAGGAGCAGTCTCCAAGTTCCTCCAATAGTTTGGAAAGTTCTCTGGTCAAAGACTACATCCATTACAATGGAGACTTTAATGCCAAAAGCATTAATGGGTGTGTGCCTAGCCCTTCAGACGCTAAAAGCATTAGTAGTGAAGATGACCTAAGGAATCCAGACTCCCCCTCTTCAAATGAGTTGATACATTATAGACCAAGGACGTTCAATGTTGGCGACTTGGTCTGGGGCCAAATCAAAGGACTGACTTCCTGGCCTGGAAAATTAGTAAGAGAAGACGACGTTCACAATTCATGTCAACAAAGCCCCGAGGAAGGGAAGGTATACCAATCTTTATCCATTGTCAAATACTAACCTTTGTTCAGATATCAATTATTGTTTTTTGTTATCATCACTTTGGATTCTTTGGATTTGAAATTAGGATTCTCCATGACTGATTGAGGTCTCACAAGCTTCTGGAGCATAAAATGAAGAGGGGATGGTTATAGTCACCAAAATGTCATATCAACAAGGGGTGAGTTATGAAGCATTTATAGATCACACTAGGGCTCAGGGTGGCTCTGAGCCAGGAACCAGATTTCCAGAATTTTGTCAACTCTGCCTTCCTTCTCTGCATTTACCTAATTCTTCATTCCATACACAGAGGAGGAAGGCAAGTGTCAATGACTAGGGAAAAAAATCTGGTAGCCTTTGGAGGTCCAGGAGTGTGGCAGAGTAGGATCCTCCCAGGCAACCAGAAAGTACCAGGGGACAGTGTCTCCTCCATGTGCTTGCATGTGACACATAGAGCTGGGGAGGGGGTAAAATCTGGGTGGAATCGCAGCCTTTTCTGGAAGCAGCAGGTAATGTCTGAGTTAACAATGGTGTCTCCTTTCAGGAAAAGTTCTAGGCCTTTATAACATATGGAAATGTTTAACCCCATAGTCTGGTTCTACTTAACACAATCTGATCATATAAATTAAATGAAAACTTCTCCATGTAACTACCATTCAATTTAAAAGAAATTAGCAGGGGTCTTCTGAGCTTCCCCTTGCCCCCCTTATAAAAGATAAAATTGGCTCACTAAGCAAGAAATATGCAGACTGTTTAAAGTAGATAGAAAAATTTATATTTGCCCAGGAAGAGAGAATTATGCACATTCCCCTCATATGGTGAAGAAGCATATGATTTTTCATCTTCTTAGGTAATAAAAGTTACTCTTACAGGTATACATTATTCTCTTAAAGAGTATATTGTATAAAACTATTTCAACTCTGCTCAAACTTTCACTGGCACTTAGGTTTAATGGCAGGAAACCAAAAGCATTTTTGCCAGCACAATAAAAGGATTGTCTTTCTCCAAACGACCAGGAGGTCCTTAAACCTTGCTTATATTGCCTAATATATACTTGTCAGGGTATACTCTGGGCATAATGTTTCTATGTTTGATAAGAAAATGAATTCCATACTCCTACTCACAAAACATGTTATTCTCTATATTCTCTGAGACCAGACAAACATTCTTTAGGTTGATAAACCTAAATATTCTTGACAGTTTATTCAAGAAATAATTAGAAACAGCACAAGTGGGCTTTTATGATATAAATGGAACTGCTACAAATACAAGATGTAGACATTGAACTGTTTTACAATCTCTGTGCAAACGAACCAAGTCATTTTTATGTGCCATTTTACAAAAAGCTTAACTAAAGAAAAGATGATGGCCTCCCTTCTCGGGAAACATTCTTCCTGCCCTAAATGCCTCGTCTAAATATCTTTTCATGTCCTCAGGAGAATAAAGGCATGTATTTTTAACACATTTCACATTAAACTATGATCTGAATTTTCTGATTAATCTGTGTTTGAAATCTCCTGAGGTTGAGTTATTCACTGATGTTAGGGGAGATATACATTTAAAAAAAAAAATCATCTAAGAGTCCAAAAAACATTTATTTTGCTTCATTTAAATAAGCAAAGTGGTATTTATTCACTATAAAATCATAGTGTTTTTAAAATCCAGATTCTTCTTCCTTATTTTAGACAATAGATGAATTCCTAATCGGGAGCAAAAAATTGTTTCCGTAAATTCAAATATTCCTTCTCCCATTGGTTGACATTATAATTTTGCATTCTCAAGAAAAACTTAATATCAAGATACACTACAAGTGTTTTTAGTAATTCAGAAAACATAATTTAAAGCACATATTTAGAAATGAAAAACTGAAAACATGTAATGAAGTATTAATGATAATACGTGAGACATTTATCGATCATTAAAAAGCAAGATATAACAGCATTAAAGGCTTTAGGGCCCTTAACATTTTTAAAACCTTCTGGTCTTTTCAGGACCCACCTCACTTTTGCACATAAAAACACAAAGCACTGCTTCATAAACACCCTTTTTTCTCTTATAGTTCATAAAATAAAGGACTTCCTCATACCTTATTTAATGATGCCCAGTGAGCCAGAGTTCTCATTTTATAATACCAGAAAAGGTAAAATTTCAAACACAGGTCTGTCTGACTCCAAGCCAACTACCTGATATATTAGTGACCCTGGTTCATCAAGAAAAAAATTAAACTATGTTTAATTTCCATATAAGAAAATGAGCACGATCTTTTCCAGAAAGATCTCTAGTAAAACATTTTGATAATTTTGTACTCTTATTCAGGTAAACCAATTATGATGTAAATTTTATTTACATAGAACCCCTTAATGCTCAGCAATGTTGGACAAATAAAGCCGTGTACATTAATAACCAGACTTCTGCTTTTAAAAAGATAAGCAGTGCCTTAGGTTCCCTTCTACATGGTGCGCCAATGCATGACATTATTTAATAAAGTCTAGCGAGAAAGACAGAGACTAACTACATAAACAATTTGCTTATTATAGTAAAACTTTATTAATTCTGCCTTGCTGATGTGGACTGTGGGATCATTTCCCATAGTGTTTATCTTTGTAGTGTCTCAGAAGAAAAGATTTACCAAATAATTTTTGTGCATGTCATCAAACCTTCTTAGCCTTTCAGCTTTTATACTATTTCTGTGTCCACCAAAGTAAATTAATCCAAGATTCTGTCAGATCTCACCAGATAGCCATGTTAACTCAAGTTTTAGAATAGATTTATTATGCCCCTCCATCCCACAACCTATCATTCATTATTTTCAGTTACGGTCTTTGTTCTCAGAAAGCCACTTCGAATTCTTTTTGGAAACAGGCAAAGTAGAAAATGTAAATAATTAATTAACAGGATCGCAGATTACTATTTCAAAGCAAGCTGGGCGCCTCTCCTGTTTCCACGTTGCATCAGTGGTCTCTGATACGAGAGAGGCCAATGCTGTGATAAGAGCACTGATATTTGCCAAGGGCTGAGACCTCCACATTGTCCATAAGTTAATGTTTTAGCAGACTCTGTTGGTTATGACAGTAAATGACTAGGTCAGCTTGTGATTTTAGAAAGGCATTTTTCATCTTTGGTGGGATATTAAATGTAATAGAATTATTGATATGTATTGGAAATGTTCAGTGTTTTCTGAGATGATTTCCTGACATCAAATACTATGTGAACACAGTCTACAGAGAAATAGAGAGAAAGCAGGGTGTGGCACGGGCTTTGGGCATCTGGATGTGAGCCTAACCCTAGCTCTGCCAGTTACCTAAGTGGCCCTGGGTAGGTATATTAAGCTCCCAGAAGCTGCAGTCTCCTCACTTCTCAAGTGAGAATATTAATTTCTACTCAGAAAGATGTTTTAAGAATTAAACGAGATTCCACAGATCAATTATCTAGCACACCAAAGAGGCTCAATAAATATTAGCCTCCTAGTCTCTGTTCTCTATGTTAGACAATCTTATTAATTTAGATTCCACCATTACGGAGTTGTGGTAATTTGACCTTCGTTATTGTTTACCTATGCATCATCCACGTGTAAAGGATTTACTAACGAGGGTTGAGGGTAAAAGGATTATAAGGAATATATTCAATGAATAAAGTAGTTCATAACTATTTTTTATGACCTTCAGCATATAATGTACAAATTGGCATATCTGATTATAAGTTAATATTAAAGCACTGAGTTTGTTGAGTGAACTTGAAAGTCCCTCTTCCCCCAATGTTTCTAAAAATATCAACTCAAACTTTCTTCCTCTACTTTCCTACCTAACCCCCCTCTACACACATACAACAATATTTACTAGTAGAGATTTTTTTAACAGTCTGTGAAAAGTTGGGCTGAATCGCCTGTATGTATTACTGTCCTGATATTGAAGTTATGTGACAGCACTGGAGATTATCATGTGCCTCGTATTGTACCATTCAGGCAGTGCTCACGAGCATGTTTTTCCCCTTGGTTAGCAGTGTGTAATGAAGTGCATTCTGGGAGATAGCTCTTGTTCTAAATAAGTGGTGCAAGTTTTTCTCCAAACCATGAACCCTTTATTCTTTGTGGTTCAAGTGGCACGGATAAGACCTCAATGCTGTGCTCTGGAACACAGTCATGGCCAGAGAGATGCACTTCCTGCTCTTGGCATAATGTTAGGGAATTCTTGGAAAAGGGAAATGGCTACCCCTGGCATTATATCTATATGCCTTAATGTGCAAACATTTTTAAGCCTATGTGACTATGGGGGGAAATGGTTATTTTTATGTACTTATTTTAATAATTATTTAAAAATAGTGAAAATGCTGTTGTTTTCTAAAATTTATTTCATAATTGTCATCTTTGATTTTACATTAACTAGCCTAAAAGTGTTGCCTCTCAAGCAATAATAATCAAAAATAAAATTTTTTTCTGCATAGGTTCTTTTTCCTCTTGTTGAACATGGTCCCATTGGTCTTCATATTTCATTACTCTTATATTTGATGTGTATTCCGACCCAAGCCAAATTTAAGAAAGAATTTTTTACTAGACCAGCACCAAAATATTTCTTTTCTATGAAACACCTGTTGCTGGACAGGTACAGAGACACCTCCTCATTACTGAGAAAAGTTCTACATCTCCATGCAACACCACCTGATTAAATGAAGACATGGGTTTTTAAAATCGTCAATGGGTAGGGTGCTCCCGCTTGGGAATCACACTTACGTTTTTTTCCACACAGCTATATTTGTCAGGCAGAGATAAAAATAGCTCTCTGAGTAGTCATTCAAAGCTGACAAAACTCATCATTATTAAAACTCATCACCAAATTTATTTGGGGGCAATACACTTTCTGTATGTCGTTTCAGCATTACGCACACACATGTTTTGACAGTGTGGAGCACAAGCAGAGACAGCTTGCCTTGCATTCTGTGGGTGTGTAACTTAAGAAGTTGAGCCTGGTGACTGACTTTAGGAGGTGTGCCCT